TCCACCATAAATCTATGTCCTTTCCTACCTTTCTGGGAGGCTCTCTGGGTGGAGAACATCTCCTGGAGGAGGGCATGGCAACGCACTCCAGTATTCTTGCCTAGAGAATCCCATGGACAGAGGAGCTTGGCAGGCTCCATGAGGTGAGTCCATGGAGTCACAAAGAGTTGGACACGGCTGAACGACCAGCACTAATGCCATAGTATTTAGAGCAATAGCCCTCTATTCTCAAAATTCCACTTCTACAGTAACTGTGCTCCTCTACTGTAATAGTCCCGCCTCTGTAATAAGAGTCCTCCTTAATTGTATTACTCTGCTTCTATTGTCAATGCCCCCACTACAGTAATAGTTCCTCTTCTACAATATTAGCTCCTCTCTAATGTCATAGTAACAGTTTCCGCTATAGGGTAACAGTTCTCTATTAGAGAACTAACAGAGTAATAGTTCTCCTTTATTGTCATAGTCCTCCACCCCATACACTAATAGTCCTGTCTTTATTCCAACGAACTTCACTGATCCTCTGCTCTGTGGAAGGCCCTGTGTTAGCAGTGGGGACACTAGGAGAAGCAGGACACCCCCACTCCTAGAGCTATGGTCTAGGAGCTACAGTCACATGAGGAAGGTGGAGAGACATCCCCTAGTCCCAAAGAACAAGGCAATATGGGGCAGGGCAGTGGGGCTCCAAGATGATCACTCAAGTGTTGGTGCCTGAGCCAGGGTCGTTTGGGGCCTTGGGAAGCTGGGTTCCTTCTGTGGGAGATGATGGTAATGAACCTGAGTGGTGGCAACAGCCAGACTGTAGATGGGGTCTTATGAGTGAGAGGAAAGTCTGGAATCAGACATGCACTTTAGAAGTTCATCTTCTCTCCAATTAATCTCCTGGATCTGAGAAAGTGCGCTTTGGTCAGAACAGGTAGACACTTGGTTTTTCTGCTTGAGTCTAAATACACTAAAAAGTTTCCAAATGGGAAATGAGTGAATTTGGTTTGGCGCACAGTCTACTCAATCTCAGGGAATATAGTTGAACACATTTTGATTACCACCCTCAGTCTCCTGGTAAGATTTTAATGGGGTTCTTTGAAACTGGCAGTTGGACACTTCAACTGATGGGTCAGCTTTCCTAGGTGGTTAGGCCGCAAAGCCATAAAAACTGCACTGAACTTGAACTCACACACCTCAGAATCCTCCTTGGAAGCGAAGGGAGGTGCATATCCTAGCTGGATTTTATAAAGAAAACACCCACTGTCCCTGTCCTCTTTCTGTCACTTGTCTGATACCTGCCTCTCATGAAGCTCATGGCTGCCGGGGAGCTTACGGGCACCTTGTGCAGGTGCTCAGGCAAGTTCCAGCTTGTGGAGGCAGCTGCAACTCCCAGAGGGAGACTGTGTCCTGGCATCAGGAGGCATGGGCACATCCTCAGCCTTCTGAGACTGTGGGTGGCATCACTGCAGAAGAAAGGGCAGAAAGAGCATTAGAGGGAGTTGGGGGGACCCCTCCCTGCCATTCACAAAAGCCTTGGAAGCTAAATCAGATCTTGCATTTGAAAGGGTTAATGATACAGAGTGGTGACTAGAAATGGAAATTCAAGGCACATTTGGCTTTCTCAGAAACTCCTCAACACAGGAAGGGAATTGTCTTCATCACAAGCTATACCTACTGGCTGCTGTCTGTTGAGCATCGAGTACACTGAAGAGTAGGGGAGAGGTCCTTGTCCACAACTCTTCTCCCTCTGCTTCCTGGATGCTGCCTGCAGGGAACATGGGATCCTTATGTAAACCTACAACAATTTGGAAATAAATACATGAATAATTCACCAAGATTTTAATACAAAGACAGAAAAATAGGTTCATCTAAATAACAATAGCATGTTGTTTGGGGAAAAAGTTTCCTATTTGTGTTGATGCCTGGGGTGGGATGGAAAGGTATTTTGGATGCAGGTGGTGCCACATCCATGGGGCTGAGCTCCCAAGAAACAGGAAAGGCTCCTGCCTGACTGACTGATGGAAGATCTGTCCATGTGCCGTCCATTCAGGGCCAAGGGTGAGGAACTGGGCTTCTCCCAGTGGCACAGTCAGAGGGTGGGTGTTTTTAGGAGAACTACTCTCTTCCTAGAGCCCTGCAGGACAGTTGTGATGCAGACAGGGTGGAAGAGGAAGGAGTATTTTGGATTCTGAGCACTGCAGATGATATCCTGGGGTGGCACAGCTAGATGGACTGAGGAGGGTGGAGATCCCTGGGAGCAGGGGGCAAGGATGCAGCCTAGGAGTCTGGAGCTGAGCTTCAACCTAGAACCACATGAGGACCACACAGTCCTCGATCTCTGCCCTCCTTCTGGGGTCCATCCTTCTCTCCCTTTCCCTTCATCACATGGCAGGTCTTGGTCAGGAGAAGAGGAGACATGTGGTTGGGGAACTGGTGCCTGAACCTCTGCAGAGAGGAGCACAAAGCACCAGGTGGGAACCATGGCTCATAGGTCAGTAGGACTGTTATGATATCTCCTGGGGGAACCGTCTCCCTTTGGGAAGAGCATGTCCTGTCACCACCATTAATAGAGAGACCAGTAGCCACATGAGGCTGAGCAGTGTGAACTCAAATGTACTTAGTGTGTCCCAGGGCCTGGCCTTCTATCATACTATAATGTAAAGTCAAATGTAAATAGCTAGAAGTGGCTAACGGCTAGATAGCCCCGCTGAGGAACTGCAGAACCTACATGGGGGACCAGAAGCACAACTTCCATTGTGGGTCACTGGGAGTGGTGGTAGGTGGGGTCACTGTTCCCTCTGGTTCCAGGGCCATGTATCTTACTTAGTGGAGGAAATAATGATGACAGATGTGGAGTTTGTCCAGTCCCTGGAGGGTGAAACCCCAGCACCACGGGCTCTCATATTCCAGTGTGCACCTCACATGTGCTTCGTAGAAGCCATTCCACTGCTCCAGGAGACCAGCAGCTCTGGAAGCTGTGGTCTCAGGGCAATGAGGGCTTTGGTGTGAGGGTCCAGCCTTGGGTCAAGTCAGGGACACCCTGTACCTTCCAGAGCTCAAGATGAGGACCCTGACGAGGACACAAGGACCCCGAGGAGGACACACGGACCCCAAGGAGGACACAAGGACCCCATGGATCCCACCCCTGCTGTCATCCCTAGTCATCCCTGGTGACGGCATGAGCACTTGGTAACGTGTCCCTAAATTTGGCATCCCTGTCTCTGACAGGTTGGGGACCTGATATAAAGGGCGGGCCTTAGAAGGAGAAGGGGAGGATAGTAGGCTCTGAAGAAGTTTGGGTGAGGACCCTGAGGAAAGACTGAGGGGAACCTGGACCCCAACACAGAGTGGGCTCAGGGAGCACTCAGGGTGGGCTCAGGGTGGGATGAGCACATGCCACATTTCCTGACATCAGGGTCTCAGAGAGACTGGGGACCTGCTATAGGTGGCGGGGCTTCAGGTGGGCAGAGAGGAGAATTCCAGGTCCTGTGGGGTAACAAGTTGAGGTCCCTGAGGGGGGACTAGGTGGCCCTTGACCTCAGAGAAAGCTGTCTCTGTTGTCGGTCCTTGGCGGCCGTGAAGTAGGAGGAGAACAGGCATGGTCTGACTTCCTGACATCCGGGTCTCAGAGAGGGGTATAAGGGGCGGGGCTTCAGTTGGGGAGAGGAGAGACTCTGAAGCTCTACTTGGAGACAAGGAAAGGCCCTGAGGGAGGACTGAGGGGACCCCCAGGGAGGACTGCTGGAGCCCCACAGATCCCCGCCCCTGTCATCAGCCCTGGGAGACCCTGGGGTGAGAAGAGCACACTGCGCCTGTCCTGACTTTCTGACTTCCGGGTCTCAGCGAGACGGGGGACCTGGTGTGAGGAGCTGGGCCTCAACCTGGGGAAGGACAGAGCCCCGGTCCTACCGGGAGTCAAGTTGAGGACTCTGAGGGAGGAGTGAGGGGAGCCGGACCCCAGAACAGACGGGACCCAGGTACTCCCCAGGCAGGACGACCTCATGCCACATGACTGGGAACTGGGTGAGAGTGGTGGGGCCTCAAAAGGGAGGACGGGCCAGTTCCGGGTCCTGCCTGGAATCCAGACTCCAGGCAAGGAAGGACTGAGGCGGTTAGACCCCAACACAGGGAGGGATCCTTGCCTTTGATGGGGGTCTTAGAGGCCCCAGAGCGGGTTGAGCAGGATGTGCAGTTTCTCGACTTCTGGCTCAAGGGGCTTGGGAGGTGAGGTGTTCAGGCAGAGGGTGGAGCCTTCAGGTCCTCAGATGTTGGACTCCCCAGGTAGAGCTGAACCCACCCTTGTGGTCAGTGCTGGGAGTCCAGGCTGGACATGAGGTGAGGACCGAGCATCTCTCCAGCCTAGGACCCGCGGGAGGCCCTGGTCAGGTGCGGCTGCATGTGCTCTTTTGCACTTTCCCTTCAGACTCGGGTCTTGTTCTCAGTAACTCTGCAGGCCCCCAAAGGGCAGGGTACAGGCTGCGGCCGGAGAAAGGTGGGCACTACAAGGAGCTACAAGGGAACCATTTCCCCCACAACTGGGGCGACCTCAGAGCCCAGGGCTGTGCCACAATCTACCCCCAAGTTGCCCCCTCTGTTTTTTTCACAGAGGCTCCAGGAACCAGGAGGCAAAGGCAGAAGTCTTAGGCCTGTGTCCAGAGGTCACAGAACAGAGGAGGTCCAGGCAGTACCAGGAGTCAAGGTGAGGAGGGTGCCCTGAGTGAGCACCAGAGGCTCCCCATCCCAGAACAGAAGGGACTCCATAAAGCCCTAAACTCCCCACTGTGTCAGCCCCAGAACCTCAGACTGTGCTGGCTGCACTTCCCCCTTCGGGCAGCCAGGGGTCAGGCTGCCCAGGATGAGGGCCCCTGTGAGGCCGAGAGCACCCCTCAAGAGGAGACCTGTAAGTGGCCTGTGTTGACCACCCAGGGTGTATTTCTGAGCCGAGGCCCATGCTCCCCAATGTCCTCTGCCTCACTCCTGTCTGTGGTTTGATCCCAGGTATCGTGCTCGTGGTCAAGATGAGTGAGCTGAGCAAGCCTGAGGAAGCCCTTCAGGACCCAGGCAAGGCCCAGGACCCAGAGGAGGTGCAGCTCTTGGGGGCTGAGTGGGGGGAGGCTGCATCCGCCTCAGCCTCCTCCCACCCAGTCTCCTCGTCAGCCCCTGTGGAGGCCTTGCCCCAGGAAGCTGTGAATAAAATGGTGGCTAACATGGTGAAGTTCCTGCTCTGCAAGTATCGAGCCAGGAAGCTAACCTCCTATGCCGAATTGCTGAATACAGTCCTCAGGGGTAACCAGGAGCACTACCCGGTGGTCTTCTGCCAAGCAGTTGAGTGCTTTCTGCTGGTGTTTGGTGTGGATGTGAAGGAGGTAGACCCCAGGAGGCGCATCTACATCATGGTTCCCTCCCTGGACCTCACCTGTGATTTGATGCAGAGAGATGGGCAGGGCCTGCCCAAGGCTGGCCTCCTGGTGGTGGTCCTCAGCCTGATGCTCCAGAATAGGGATCACGGCCCTGAGGAGGAGATCTGGGGAGCACTCAACAAGATGGGGCTGTGTGTTGGGAAGGAGCACTCCATCTTTGGTGAGCCCAGGGAGTTGCTGACCCAAGTGTGGGTGTGGGACGGGTATATGGAGTACCAGCAGGTGCCTGACAGCAACCCTACTCGATACAAGTTCCTGTGGGGTCCCCGGGCCTTTGCAGAGACCAGCAAGGAGAAATTCATGGAGTATCTGCTCAGGGTCAACTGAAGGACTATTAGGTCCTTCCCACTCCCTTCTGCAGAGGGTGTGAGGGAGGAGGAAGAGGGGCCCTGAGCCAGAGCAGCAGCCAGGCTGATCTTTCCCTCTGTGATTGAAGAGGGAGTGGTGAGCCTTCTCAGTAGTGAGGGCCTGGGCGACTTGGGGGAACCCGGGGTGTAGCATCTTTGTGTTCGTTTTGTCTGTGATGACATGGAAGTTCATCTCTGTTTTTTAGGAATTTTTCAAATGTGTTTTTTCAGCTTAAGGCTTAATAAACTTCAGTATCTATCTTTGTGAATGACATTGAACACACATGTACTTGTAATTACCCAGTTTATGGACAGGAGTTTTGCTGGTTTTTAAAAGAGTTTGGGAACTCTCCCATTTTAATTTTTGACCCTGAACATGGTGACATGAGATTAGATTTATAACTATTTTGGAAATGTCAACTTGCTTAGCATTAATGTACTTGGTGAAAGAATTGGAAAATAAAATGTGATTATATTGAAATCTTGCTTCTTATACTTCTTGTCTGTCATTTTATACAACTAAGCTATCTCAAGTTTATTTGGATTTTCCCAGTAAGAAAGTAGGAGAAAACTAATCCTACTAAATAAGGACCTGCTCCCTGGCTCATTTGTTCCACAGAACTTCACAGAGCCTGTGCTCTGTGACAGGCCTTGTTAGCAGTGGGGACACTAGGAGAAGCAGGACACCCCTACACCTAGAGTGATGATCTAAGAGCTGCAGTCACATGAGGAAGGTGGAGAGATGTCCCCTAGTCCCACAGAACAAGGCAACACAGGGCAGGGTGGTGGTATTCCAGGAGAATCCCTTCAGTGTTGGTGCCTGAGCCAGGGTGGTTTGGGGCTTTGGGAAGCTGGGTTCCTTCTGTGGGAGGTGCTGTGATTAGGCTCGGCGGTGGCAGCAACCAGACCTCTCGACGGTGTCTTATGGGTGAGAAGAAAATTTGAAATGGGACATGTCCATTAGAAGTTCCTCTTTACTCAGAGATGAATCTCTTGGGTCCAAAAGAGAAAGTGTGCTTTGATCAGGATCAAGTAGACACCTGGTTTTTCTGCCTGAGAGTGAATACACTCGAAAGGTTCCAAATGAGACATGAGTGAATTTGAGTTGGCACACAGTCTTCTCAGTCTCGGGGTACATAGCTGAAGACATTTCAGTTACCACTCTCAGTCTCCCTGTAGGATTTTAATGGGGATCGTTTTTGAAACTGGCAGTTGGTCTCTTAAACTGATGGAGTGGCTTTCCTAGGTGGTGAGACCCCAAAGCCATAAAAATTGCTGTGAAGCTTAATTCACACAACTCAGAATCCTCCTTGAAGATGAAGGGTGGTGCATTATGCATATCTTAGCCAGATTTTATAAAGAAAACTCCCACTCTCCTTGTCCTCCCACTATCTCTTGTCTGATACCTGCCCCTCATGAAGGTCACGGCTATCAAGGAGCCCAAGGGAACCTGTGCAGGTGTTCGGGCAAGTTCCATCATGTTGCTAGCCAAAATGTTGGCCTTCTCTGCCCACCAAAGGTAAAAATTATAGAGACAGAGTGGGCAGGCATTAGAAAGGTGGTTTTAATTCTTAGCCAGCAGAGAGAGGAACAAAGTATGGAATCTAGGGGCTGATATAAGATGAGGGCTCCCAGTCAGGAGTCAGTGATGAGGAACAAAGGCGTTAGGATCTTGATTTCTTCCTCTTGCATTGTTTCAAAGTCAGTCTTAGACTGGCGTCAGTAACCCAGTAATTGAGCCTGGCAGTTCGGTGACTCTGTGGCCTACTTTCTGATCTGTAACTACAAGAGGAAGGGAGTTGTAAGGGTAATTACCAGATACACGATGTATTTAGCATAGAGTCAAAGAAAACTAGACGTGAAGTATAGCTCCTGTGGGCTTCCCTGGTAGCTCAGCTGGTAAAGGATCCACCTGCAATGCAGGAGACCCCGCTTTGATTCCTGGGTCAGGCAGATCCACTGGAGAAGGGATAGGCTACCCACTCCAGTATTCTTGGGCTTGCCTTGTGGCTCAGCTGGTAAAGAATCCACCTGCAATGCAGGAGACCCCGCTTCAATTCCTGGGTCAGGAAGATCCACTGGAGAATGGATAGGCTACCCTCTAAAGTATTCTTGGGCTTCCCTTGTGGCTCACCTAGTTAAGAATCCACCTGCAATGTGGGAGACCCAGGTTTGGAAGCTCCTCTGGAGAAGGGAACCTCTACCCACTCCAGTACTCTGTCCTGGAGAATTCCATGGGGTCACAATGGAATACAGTCAATGGGATCACAATGAGTTGGACACGACTGAGCGACTTTCACACTTTCATAGCTCCTGTACAGTTAGGGTGCAGAAAAGCAAACCTTAGTTTCCGACATGCAGAGTTAGGAGCAGTTAAATTAAAAAAAACAAAAAACTAAGAATGTTCAGGCTTGCTCACTGTTCTCTTTACATTCTTTCTTCTCAGGAAAGGGGGACAAAACAAACTCATTCTTCATGTTTTCCTTTTTACGGCAACACTACCACACAGCCTGATCAAAATCACCTTTCACAGAAGGAACCCAGCTTCCCAAAGCCCCAAACCAACCTGCCTCAGGCACTGAGTGCTCCTTCTGGAGCCCCACCACCTCACACTGTGTTGCCTTGTTGTGTGGGACTAGAAGACATCTCTCCATCTTCCTCATGTGACTGCAGCTCCTACACCATCGCTCTAGGTGTGGGGGGTGTTCTGCTTCTCCTACTGTCCCCACTGCTAACACGGCCTTCCACAGAGCAGAGGCTCTGTGAGGTTCTGGGTGAGACTAAGCCAGTAGGCAAGGTACTTATTAACTCAGACCAATTATATCCTAATTTCTTTAATAACTAACGCAAATCCAACTAAACATAAATCTTTTAGTTTTACAGAATAACAGATGACCTAAGGTTTTAGAATTAACTTTTATTTTTTATTCTCTATTTCCTTTTACTTTTTTCCCCCATGCCCCGCAGTTTTGGGGATCTTAGTTCCCCAACCAGGGATTGAACCTGGGCCCCCACTGCATTGTCAGAGAATTCCCAATTTCTCTATTTCTTGACTCCATCAATTTTATTGTTCTTTCCCATTTCCAAGAAAATTCCTATTCCAATGAAATTTTAGCTTATTCAAGGTCACAAAATAAAATAGGAGAGTTCCCAGTCTCTCTTACAAAACAGCAAAACTCCTATCCTTAAACTGGGTGAGTACTAATACATGTGTGATCATTGTCATTCACAAAATTAGATATTGAAGTTTATTAAGACTTCAGCTGAAAAAAACAATATTTGAAAAATTCCTAAAGAAAATAGAGATGAATCTCCATGTCACTGTGGAAAGAAGGAACCCAAAGATGCTACACACTGTGTCTCCTCAACTTGCCCAGGCCCTCACTACTGAGAAGGCTGACCGCTCCTTCTTCAATCATGGAAGGAAGGAGCAGTCTCCCCTCCTGCCCCCAGGACATGCTGTTAGACATGAGCCTGGAAGGAGCCTGACTGCTGCTCTGGCTCAAGGCCCCCTTTCCTCCTCCCTTCCAGCCTCTGCAGATGGGAGTGGGAAGGACCTGGAAGCCCCTTGATTGATTTTGTGTAGATGCCCTAGGACGTGCCACTTGCTGGTCTCTGCATAGTCCCAGTGACCCCGCAGGAACTCACAGAAGCAGGGTCACTGTGGGGCACCTACTGATACTCCAGGCACCCCTCCTGAACCCACTTGGGTCAGCACTCCCTGGGCTCCCCATAGATGTAGTGCTCCCTCCTGGCATATATGCCCATGTCATCCAGAGTTTCCCAGATGCCCTCTTCAGGGGTACAGTTGCCCTCCAGGAGGATCACACCTAGAACCACCACCAGGAGGCCAGTCTTCGGCATGGTGTGCCCATCACTCACCATCCCATCGCAGCTGAGGCCCAGGGTGGGGACTAGCATGTAGGTGTGCTTCGTGTGGTCCACCTCCCTCACATCCATGCCAAAAACCAGCTGCAGGCACTCTGAAGCTTGGTGAAAGGCCTCAAGGAAGTGGTACCCATCCTCTCTGAGGACCATGTTCAGGATTTCATCCTTCGTGGTCAGCCCCTTGGTACGATACTTGAGGAGCAGGAAGTGTACCAGCTCCACCACCAGCATATGCAGTGTGTCTGGGTGCGAGGACTCGGCACCTTCCTAGTCCTGCCGGGTGCTCGGTCCCTCCTCGTCTTGGCTGCTGGAGGTCTCATGTTCAGATTGGCTCCATGGAGCAGCAGCCATGGCAGAGGGTGAGGGGAAGTCACCCTGAGGGCTCATGGCAGGGACAAGGAGCCTCAGCATCAGCCAACTCCAGCTCCTCCAGGGTGCCCAGGAACAAGATAGAAGAGGAGGAGGAAAGCGAGGAAGAGGGGGAAATGGATACAACATCTCCTCCTCTTCCTCCACCTCCGCTTCCTCCTCCTCCTCCCCCTAAATGAACAGTGCCTCCACTGGGCTCTCAACCTCCCTTGGGTCCTGAAGGCTGGCCTCACTCTCCTCGTGGAGCTCGCTCATCCCAGGCATGATGACTGGGATCAAACCACAGACAGAAGTGAGGCAGGGGGACAGATGGGGACCACAGGCCTGCAGGAGAGAGGGAGTGTGAGTGGCCTCGGCTGAGAAACCCACCCTGGGCAGTCTGACACAGGCCACTGACAGGTCTCCTCCTGAGGGTTGCTCTCAGGCCTCACAGGGACGCTCCTCCTGGGCAGGCTGTCCTATGCTAACCCAAAGGAGGAAGTGATGTGGATCTGAAGGGTGCAGTCAGCATAGCCCAAGGTTCTGGGGC